AAGTGATTGTCCAAGTTTCCTTCTCACTCAATCCTAAATTTGCCTGTAGGATGGTTTGTGTGTGTGTTGTCTGTGGTGCTGAAGGATGATATTCACAAGTGCCAACAAAGATCAGTAAAAAGGCACAAAGCCACACAACATTTGCAGGCCTTCCTACAGAACTACATACCCAAGGAGTAATACAGGACATCAATTAATGAGAAACCCAAATGAATTTCACATTAAATTCAAGTGAGATATTTTGAGGGGGTGATCACTGATAAAAGGGGGGCCACAGATGACAACATAAAGCAAGGTCTTGGGGTACACCAAGGACAGAACGAAAAGATTACAGTCCTGAGTGTGGTCTCTTCCCAAGGTCATATCTGATCACTAGAGAAACTCGAAGGTTTGGTTTCTGACTCCAAGAGGCCCCAGAAAGAAGGAATTTGTGCAGCAGACCTTGGAATGTGGCACAAGTTTGCCTGTCATTCGAGAGATACTCAGTGCCTTCCACCCTCACATCTGGGTGCAGAGCAGAACCTGGGAGAAGATGGAAAGAAGGGAGATCTAATGATCATCATGAAGACACTGATCTCTTCCCCCATCTAACCATCCCATTCCATCCCCTGTAGGGGAATACATCGGGTAGGAGAAAAGCTCCAACCCTTCCTCAGGCTAGCCTTCACTGGGTCTGGTAGATCATTCTCTCCACATGAAATTCCATATCCAGCAGCCTGACACCAGTTCCACCCTGCCAAGCTCTCTTTATCAGATCTATCCTTGATCTGGCCACTTCAAAACCTCATTAGTTCTATCTGCTGTTGCCAGAATAATTATCCTCAAGCACCATTTCTGTTTCTCAGGCCCTTGATTCAAGACACACACTGCCTGTGGTTAAGATTTTAACCAAATATCCAGGTCTCCCATGTCTGCCCCAAATTATTACTGTTTCCTATACTTTTGTCTCAACTTCACGAGTCTTTTTATGAGTAGCATGGACTTTGAGAGAGGAGAGTGACCTAATCCAATTCTGACCTGTTGTACTTACTGGAACGAAAGGTCTGAAATGTGAGGTGACTTGACAAATGCCCCTGTTATCTCATAGTTTCATTTATGTTTTATACCTCGACTCTCAGTTGGGAACTTTCTTCCATGCACAATGCATTCTCTCCTTCTTCATTCATTCAGCACGTTCGTTGAGCACCTACTGTAAGCCAGATACCATAAGAGGCATGGGATAAAGTAGTGAGCAGAGAGGGCCATACCCTGTTCTCATGGAATTGACAATCTAAAGAGGAGACAGACATTTATCCAATAACCACCCAGGTACCTGATGATAAATGTTAATACATGATCTACAAGAAAGGCATAGGGTGTTATTAGCAGGTGCAGTAGAGGAACTTAACCTATCAATAGATTCAGCAAATCCTTTCCAGAATAAATGATATTTAAGCTGACATCTGAAGCATAACAAGGCACAAGGGGGACAGGCATTCCCACCAGAGAGAATGATAACGTGAATACCTTGAGGCAGGATAAAGCATAACATATTCTAAGAATTGAATGTGCTCCCATAGAGCTGGGGGCACAGTGAGGATATGGAGGTTAGCAGGCCCAGGTCATCTGTATGACTTTATATGTCAGGAAAAGAAGTTTAGATTTATTTCAACTGTGATGAATAAAAATGGAGGTTTTCAGGGGCACCTGGGTGGCTCAATCAGTTGAGCATCTGACTCTTGATTTCCACGCAGGTCATGATCTCACAGTCTGTGAGTCTGAGCCCCACATCGGGCTCAGAACTGACAGTGCACAGCCTTCTTGGGATTCTCTCTCTCCCTCTCTCTCTGCCCTTCCCACTCTGCCCCCAAATTAAATACATAATTTTTCTTTAATGGAGGGTTTCAAAAAGAAGAACAATGTTTCTAAGAGACCAGTCGGAGAATTCTGGTTCTGATCACGGCAGAATAGCTTATATCAAACTATTCTACAGATGACGATTATATTATCTTGACAAAATGGAAAAAACAACGGTTTTAAGTCACTGGAGAGTGACCAAAATTAAGCAGAAGCTGGATAGGATTTAATCCTTGAAAGAAAAGAGCCACAGTGGAAGAGATCCACACATGGCTTTTCTCAGAGGAAGACCCCCAATCCAGCCTGAACGAGGCAGATAAAGTTCAAGCAGAAAGCCATAGTCTTATGTCCTGAGAAGGCAGAAGACAGTACTCAGGATGGACTCCCAAAGCAACTATGTATCAAGGGAGGAAATCCAAAGAGGAGACAACCACAAGAGGGAATCTCCAACGTTGTTATACAACCTCCTCTCAAATCCCTGATTGTCTCCCCAGTCTCTTATATGCAGGTGATATTCCAAGAATCCAGCCAGGACAGAGGTGCCAAATTATCAGATAGGTTTCATAGCTTTGATTTTTTTATTCAAATCCTAGTTTGCTAACATATAATGTAGTATTGGTTTCAGGAGTAGAATTTAGTGATTCATCACTTACATCTAACACCCAGTGCTCATCCCAACAAGCACCCTCCTTAATGCCCTTCACCCATTTAGCCCATCTCCCCACCTAGCTCCCTTCCAGAAACCCTCAGTTTATTCTCTGTATTTAAGAGTCTCTTACGGTTTGCCTCTCTCTCTGTTTTTATCTTATTTTTCCTTCCCTTCCCCTATGTTCATCTGTTTTGTTTCTTAAACCCCACATATGAGTGAAATCATATATTTGTCTTTCTCTGATTTATTTTGCTTCGCATAATACACTCTAAGTTCCATCCACATTGTTGCAAATGGCAAGATTTCGTTCTTGATTGCTGAGTAATATTCTGATATATACAGATTATATATACTATATATATAATATATATATACTATATATATATACTATATATATACTATACATATATATACTATATATATATATACACTATACTATACTATACTATATATAGTGAAAGAGGAGGGGGATTGTGAAAATTGGATTAATGTAAGCAGTGTCCAGAAAACCTCTTTATTGTTGTGTGTGGGTGTGGGTGTGTGTGTATTAGATGAACTTTAATTCTACTTAACGCATATATACAGGACCACTCTGCATTCCACAGATATGGAGAAGCAAAGGCCATCATTCACACACTCACTATACATACCACACCATCTTCCAAACAGGCATAGATTACAGAAGCTGAAAATCATACCAAGAGTAAAAGAAAGCAAAGAGAATAATAAAAGAGGGTACCACGAAGAGATTCATCTTTTTTCAGAGAAACTGAATAACCATCGCTGACATTTGTTGAATGTGCCCTTTTTGTGTCGGTTCTGTGCCAAGTGCTTTCTTTATATATTCACTCGGCAATCCTGTGAAGTGGGTAATGTGATTACATGATTGTCCTCGTTCATTTTGCACAGAGCCCATGAGCAGCAGTGGAGTCCAGATTTGAACCCAGGCCTCATTGCAAAACCCAAGCTCGTGGCTTCCTGGTAGCCGAGGCAAAAATGAAACATCGGCTCTAGAAAGCACCTTTTCACAGGGGCCAGTAACAGAGGTGATGCCAGTAAAGTTACTTCCCTGCCCATTCTCAGAATGGCTCATGGCCAGAGGGAAACTTTCTCCTGACCTTGAGCTCCACAAAGAACTTGCTCTGTGACTCTGTCCAAGAATCACTGATACAACGTGATCATGTCCCCAAGATAAGTGGTACCCAAACTGCAGGATCATTCCACTTGGTATGAAAAGGGAGGGCTTAATGTTATGTCTTAATTGATGAAGTGCAATTCAGTACAGATCTGGATTATAGACCCTGCTATGTAACATTTTTCTCAAAGCAACAGGAAACAGTTGGGAGGAACTCAGACAATACTGAACTTTTTCCCTTCACTAGGCTTCTAGAATTTCGGAGCATCTTTCTCTTGCCTGGGAATGGCCTATGACTTAGACCTCTGCTGCCCTCTGGTGTCTCTGAGAATAAAGGCACCCAGCCAAGAATTCTTTCCACTCAAAACTGCCCAACCGTTGCTGTTCTCACAGGCCCGCAAAGCAGCGGAGCCCAGGGTCTGAGGAGAGGAGCATCTGAGCTCCCCCCGACTCCACACAGGCCTTGAGCCCTCTCTGAACACACACACCCCATCTTCAGGGTCTGGGCTCTGCCCCAGCCCTCACAAACTGCATTTCATTTCCCTCCCCTGGTGCACTGGTGTCCTGATTCAGGCTGGTGCTGGGACCCAGATTGTTGTTGGAAGACAACAATTCAGGAGTTGCTATCGGTATGAAAGACCAGGATGGCAGAGTGACCAGAATATGAATGAGAAAGCATGAAAGGGAGAGTATGAATAGGTCACAGATACCCAGGGCCAAGCTCTTCCCACCTGGGACCTGCTCAGCTGGACAGAATCTCAGGCCTGGAAGGGACTGTAAATCTCGTGGAACCCGATGTCTCTCTCTGTCCCCTTCTCTTTCTCTCCCTGCCTCCCTCTCCCTCTCTCCCCCTGTCTCTCCCTCCCTGCAGCTCTCTCCCTCTGGGGCCAGTCTGGATTGGAACTCAGAGTTACCCCTACCTGTCTCTCTCTTCCTTACTTCCCAGACCATCACAGTTGATCCCAAACCACTTGCCTACCACCATTTTATAGTGAGAGAAGGTAGAATACCAAAATTATTGCTCTCCTACAGACCAAGGTTCAAACCAGCCCTGCCACTCACTCTGAGGCCTTGGGCAAGTTATTTAAACTTTCCCAGCTTTCTCAGGACTTCCCGGGCCTACTGTGAGGATTAAATACGAGTGTGCACGTCAAGCCCAGCACCTGGGATATAGTCAGTGCTCGGTAAGGATTAGCTGTTAATTCCGGGGGGGAATTTCCGATGCTTGTGAATCTATATGAAGCTGGCCTTCTGGGCACCAATCCCCTTGACAAGAGGCCTTCACTTGGGTAGGAAAGGGAAGGTAGCCCTCAAGAGCACCCCCTCGCAGGGGGCACAGGTTCGGCCGCCTGCCCCTCTCACCCCACATATCCCACTTACCAATGACATTATGCCTCCCAGAGAGTAAGATCCAGAAGAGCAGCAGGGAGAGGACGTAGGGCCCGTGGTGTCACTGACGTGGCGTCACTGACGTGGCACATGGGTGTGCAGCCAGGGGGTTCCCCCACCTGATGGTCAAGGAAAGGAATGGAGAAGCTGGGAGCTGCAAGACCCACGGAGTGGTCAGAGAACAGGTCTCAGACGACTCACACTTGACGACTGGCAAGTATCAGAGCCCCAGAAATCCCCGCCCACTGCAAGGAAGTGTTGGAGGAGGTCACAGAGAGGACATGGTGGCCGCCAGTTGACCTGCAAGCTGACCCTGGGCAGTTGGAGTTTCCTCCCCCTCCCGCGTCCTTGGAGCATAGGCTCCGCCCACCATTCCCACAGCGGGAGCCATTTTCATGGATGTAGCCTTGAGGGAGCAAAGTGTTGCTGAGACCCTCTGGCCGGTACCTGTGACCGAGCCTGGTTAAGGCCGCTCCGTAAACTGTTAAGGTTCTGGTGGGCAGGCGCTGAGATCCTCTGTCTTCCAGAGCCCAAGACCAGCATCGTGTGTAAATTCCCTTGCTTGTTACACCTGCCAGTGTGTAAATTCCCTTGCTTGTTACACCTGCCACCTGCTGCAATCAGAGTGGCCTCTTTTCTCTTTCCTCTGTCTTACCCTGCCCTCTGTGTCTGGGGGCCGGTTTCAGATTTCACCCCTCCCAAGGTGAACCACCTGGAAGCTGAGGATGGGGAGGGGCGTGTGTGTGGCCTTTCCATCTGGTCAGAAGCTAATTTCAGGGTGCAAGTTTGGGGCATCCATAGGAGCAGGGTCCACTGAGACCTGCTCCCCCAGGCCTGAGGTGGAAATGGCCTTAAACTCTGAGGAAGGAAAGGTTCTGATGGCTTTGGTTTAGGGTACAACAGTAGGAAAAGAGGCCTAGAAAGGCCTAGGGGGGCGGGGGAGGCGAAGAATCTGGCTTTTGACCTCCAACTCCAACACAACCCCGAGGTCAAACGCCCTTCAGACCTGTTGGGATGAGCACAGGGTGTTGTATGGAAACGAATTTGACAATAAATTATATTTAAATTTTAAAAAATGTTTAAAAAAAAACAACAAATTCAGCCCTTCAGTTCATACTTTCTCTTTCTCTCTCTCCCTCTCCCCCCATCCCACCTCATTCTCTCCCCTCCCCTTTCCCCCCCCCCAGCCCCATGTCATTGCTCCCAAGTGGACAAGGTGGGTAGCCCCAGATGAGGAGGGAAGACCTGGAAGGGACCTCTCTCCTGGTGCTCAGCCTGTGCTGTGCTGGGGCTCACACCTTCCTTTCCAGTCCCACCCCCATCCCGGCAGAAAAATCACCCTACTTTACAGTATTTTAAGGTTCTAGGACTGCTGTTTTTCATTGAAAGTTGCTCCACATTGGTTTTTTTTTTTTAAGTGTGCGTGTGTTATTTTTATTTTTTTAATAAGCAATAACACGACAAGCAAAACAATGGAAGAGGAACCTGCCAAAATGTCAAGCAGCCTGTCACACTGACACCTGTGGGTCCTCCTAGTTCCCTGCGCTGTGAGCCCGGAGCCCTGGGATGGCCATGGACAGGCTCACACCATCTACTCTTGTTCAGATCAGGCAACAACGGACACGTCTGCTCGGAGAGAAGAGTGCTTGGATCATAGCAGAAACCGGAATTTCATAGGCCAGTGTGAAAACAGAGGGAAGGGAGGAACAAAAAAGACAGCAGTGATGGGAACTTTCTTCTTAAGTTGTAACTTGCCTTTTTCCACTAGACTTGGGAATTACAAAAACATCTTTGCGATATTCAAGGTGAGCACTAATACTCTTTTTTTCTTGTTATAAAAGCCCTGCCTACGTTAGCAATTTCTAAATTTTGAATGCATGTGTCCTCTGACCCAATATGACATGTGTGGCTCATTACCCACCTAACCCCAAAGTCTATTCTCTCCTTCTTCCTTGCTAATAGAATCTCAGCTTTTATATACAGATGGGGCCATCCGTCAGCCTCAAGGATGAAGCATGTTTAATCAAAGACAGTCACATTTTCCCATTCCCGTTTGCTTTTCTGGCCTCCCTTGTGGCAACAGTTCTGACCGATGAGAGGACAAGGGAAATCCGGGGAGGGGATGGCTTCTGGGGAAGATGGTCTCCATCATTAAAAGGAGAGCACCATCTGAGGTGAAGGTCTTTTCACCACTACATCTTCCTGCTGTGATGTCTGGAGCTACAGCAGCCATCCCACACCTGTGAGGTGACCCTCTCGAGGACAAAAGCCAGCATGCCGAGGTTGGTGGGGAAGGAAGGAATGAGTCTGCGCATTGGTGTTGAGGGTAAGCTGCCGAACCAGCCTCACCGCCTCTCTCCAGACTCTGATGTGAGAAAATTAAATGTCTTTATTGGCTAAGCCACTGTTAGTTGGGTTTTCTATTACTTGCAGCTCAAAAAATTCTTCTATTCATTCAATGAACATTGAGGGGCTTTGTGTGTGTGTGTGTGTGTGTGTCTTTTTTGTCAGATTCTATTTGAGAACCTAGAATTCTACTATTGAGAATTGTCCCCAGATTTACCTGCAAAAGTAGGCCAACATTAAACGTACACAGATTAAGGTCCAACAAGAGCTGACTAGCTAAATTAGCTATTTTCATGGAGTCCCATTACAAGAGTGTATGTGAGGACATAAATTTCTCAAAGATATAGAATGTGATCCATTTTGTATACCTAACAAATATAATTTTTTTTATTTTTTTAATGTTTATTTTTGAGAGAGAGAGAATCCATAGCAGGCTCCAGGCTCTGAGCCCAACACAGAGCCCGACACAGGGCTCGAACTCAGGAATAGCGAGATCATGACCTGAGCCAAAGTCCAAAGCTTAACCGACTGAGACACCCAGATGCCCTCTAACAAATATAATTTTTAAAAACTGATCTTGATTCCAAGAACCTAAAGATAATTCCTCCCTACAGCAAAGTGACCTGGAGGGGACTTACTGCCTGTCTTGGAGCCACGGGCCAGCCCCTAAGGAAGGAGGTCCAAGGTAGGAACATCCAAACGACTGCAGTAAACCAGTTCCAAGCCCAACTCACATTCTGATAAAAGAAAGGTCAGCAGGCCCAAGAAGAGGCCTGAGGGTCCCACTCCTGAGGCTTGAGAGAGACTTCTGGAGCTCCCACCCTCCTCTGCCCTCGCCACCTGAGCAGCAACATTTCAGTGTTCTCAGAAAGGATGGATTGCCTAAGGTGCCATAATCCTGCAGCCATGCTCAGACCCCCTAGCTCTCTCTCCTCACCCTAGCCCTCAAACAGCACAGACAAGAAGGTCAGCATGAGCCTTTACTGGGGACAAGCAGCACCGAACACCATTGCCCAAATCCACGGCTATATTCCCACGCTCAGGGCAGCAGCAGGAACAGAAGCAGAGCAGGGAGGGCAGTGAGAGCCCCCCGGAGGGTCACAGCCCCAGGATATCTCCCTCTCCTGGCAGCCGGAACAAGCCCCCTGTAGCAGCTCAGGACAGCTAGGACACCCGGGTCTCTGCAAAAAGAAGAAACATCAGGTCACTGCTGTGCCCTCCTGGCTCCAGCTCCCCTCTACCCTAGAGAGGTTTCCCTTCTACACCCTAGAGAAGCATGGCATACGTGGCTCCCCAAAGCCTCGAATGGTGCCCTGCTTCCCAGATAATCCAGTCCAAACTGGTGCTGAAGACTCTACTCCTTCAGATACCAACCTCATATCTCCTGGCATGAAAGCAGCCCAGCTGTTCCTTCACCCACACTTGCCCCACCCCCACCCAGTTCCCCAAACATGTCACACACATTCCACCCTCTGTGCCCGCTAACCACCAGACTCACTGTCCAGCGTGTACTCTGTGCTGTTCCCCCTCTGTCACTGCCCACCTAGCCTTTAGGACCCAGATCAGATCCCACTTCTGGCAGAAAGACCTTCCTAAGGAGCCACTCCCACACAGAGAGCCTAGAAGCCCCAGCTCGTCTATTCAAGGATTCTCATCTGTGACACATGACCTTTTTCTCCCAACTAGCCTCTGCAGGGCAAGAACTTCGTCTCGACCTTCTGGAGCCCCCTGCCCGGCACCTAAGCCAGTGCTCGGCACCTCGCAGTTAAGTTGGCTGTTTTCAGCGATGACAGGCTGTACTCACCTAATTCAGAATCAGACCTGAGGGTCCAGCTGGGGTTTGTGGCCAGCTCGGCTCGCAGAATTGGTGGGACACAGAAGCGGCCGCAGCCTGACTTGCAGCACTTTTCCCCGGCCTGGCAGTTCTCATCCGTCATGCAACTGACGATGCACAAGCCCACCAAAATATTTGGACAATCACCACTCCGCCCTGCGAGATAAACAGGCACAGGTAGAGACAGGACAGTCGACTCCATGGACTCCACGTTCCGACTGGCACTGAGACTCAGAGGCTCCAGGTGAATCCATCCCTGACTGTAACTAGATCTTAACCAAACATCTGGCTGAGAAACCAGGAAGCTACAGCCTCTGAGAATAGGCAGGTCCCCAAGAGAGCATCTGGACCAATAGTTTTCAAATGGCATCTCAGATTTCCCTATGGTGGTCCCTCGGGGCTTGACGGCTCTGTGGGCGGGGCTGCTCAGAGTCTGTCAAGACCACCACTCTCTCCCCCACACCTGGGCCTTACAGTGTTACTTCTTCAGGGAGGCCTTGTCTCCCAGACAAGGTTTGGTGCCCTGCTTTGTGTGCCTTTCATCAGAATTTATCACGATGCCTGATCCGTCTACCTTCCTGATAAACTCTAAGCTACGTAAGGAAGAGAATCTGTCTTCAGAACCTTGAACCCTGCCTGGGAATCCACGTGTTGTCTAAAAACAACATCTGAGCCAGTGATTCTGAAATGGAGTTCTACAGGGTCACGTGGGTGCTTCAGTCAGTTAAGCGTCTAACTCTTGATGTCAGCTCAGGTCATGATCTCGTGGTCGTGAGATCAAGCTCACTTCAGGCTCTGCACTGTCGGGGCAGAGCCTGCTTGGAATTCTCTCTCTCTCCCTCTCTCTCTGCTCCTCCCCAACTTGTGCACTCGTGCACGCGCGCTCTCTCTCTCTCTCTCAAAATAAATAAACTTAAAGAAAAATGTTTTAATGGAGTTCTATAGTCTGGTACAAAAGGAGCATTCAAACAGATGTATTTGTTTTTTAAAATATATTGAAGAGGGGCACCTGGGTGGCTCGGTCGGTTAAGCGTCTGACTTCGGCTCAGGTCATGATCTCACGGTCCGTGGGTTCGAGCCCCGCGTCGGGCTCTGTACTGACAGCTCAGAGCCTGGAGCCTGTTTCAGATTCTGTGTCTCCCTCTCTCTGTGACCCTCCCCCGTTCATGCTCTGTCTCTCTCTGTCTCAAAAATAAATAAACGTTAAAAAAAATTTTTTTTTAATATATTGAAGAAACAAAGAAATCAGAGCAGCAATGCTTTTATCTGTTGCATACGTGTTGCTAAGAAATCAGTCAGAAAATCCTGATCTTGGGCAACTCCCTCACTTTACAAACGAAGAAGCTGGCTCAATGAGAGGAGTTTGCTTCCCTGAGGTCACAGAGCCAGTCGGCAGCAGAATGAAGCCCAGAAGCCACGCTGCCCATCTTCCGGCCTCAGGACCCTTCCTACTAACCCACACTGCCTTCCCCTAGTTCTTTCAATGCCAACATGGGCCCCTGGGCCCTAGAAAGAGGGGTTGCTTTGGACTGGGGGGCTAGGAGGACAGGAAGCATGAGAACTCTCACCACCACCCCCCTCCAGAAAGGGAAAGACAGGAAGGCCAGAGATGGCTCCCTCCCCATCCCACCCTGGAACTCAGGACTTCTTCCCCAAGGAGCCAACATACCTCCCTTAATGTCTCCACGGCAGGAGTGGCCACAGCCGGTGCTACAGCATTTAAGCCCCTGGGGGCAGGACACGTCCCCATCACACAGCTCCTTACACGGAAGGGGGTCAGCCGGACATTCACCTCCAGGCTCTGCCATAGAATCATAGCATTGGGGACCAGAGGTGTTCAAGCCCAGTGTTTCTGGTTATTTTCACTGTGACTCTTGAGTGCAAAATACATCTTTCATTGTGTATGTTAATCTGTATGCATGCCTCAAACGTATATATTTATGTACACACATGTATATACTCTATAGTCTATTTCTTCTTTTTTTTAATGCTGGCCGTCAACTACTAAACTGATCTCAAGATTTGCAGTCTGGGAAACACTGCTGAGGTCTAACCCACTGTGGCAAACGTACCTATTGCCAGCCCACAGTCACTCTCCGTCTCTCCTTCCTGTGGTAGGTGGTGGCCCCCAGTGAGCCACACCTCCCATACTGTCTCTGGGCTGGGCTGTAAGGGACTTGCTTTGACCAACAGGACACCAGCAAGTGTGATGCAGGCAGAGGCGTGGTAAGCACTTGCATACTGGGGCTCATTCTCTTAAAACAATCCCCCCACCACCACCGCCTCCTTGGAAACCAGCCGCTATGCTGTGAACCAGCTTGGGCTCCACTGCAGAATGATGAGATGCCCCGAAGAGACGCATGAAGAGAGGCATCCTGAACATTCCAGCCACCGTCAAGTTCCCCGCTGAGCTCCCAGCTGCAGGCAGCTTCATGAGTGACATGGCTGCACCATGTAGGTTATGAGAACTAAGCTCAGCCAACCCACACAGCTGTGAGAGTCAGTTGCTGGGATTTTAAGCCACTAAGTTCAGGAAGTGTTTGTTATGCAGCCATGGACAACAGAAACACTTGCTAATAAAGCCACAGGTTTGTGCAGAGTCAATGAGCCCAGCCAGCTACAGTGAGTTGCTTCCCCATATTACCTTGTAACTAGAGGGACCAGAAATGAAGACATAAGCTGGGAAAATTCTGCATTCCCGACCCAGGTAATGCTCCTTTCAAACTGCCCCCTGGCTTCTCTTTCTTCCAGTGCAAAGACAGACATAACACAGGAGGTAGAGCCGTCTTTTCTCAACCATGAGGCAACTACTATGAGGACAAAGTCAGGGAATGCAAAGGAGAAAGAAAAAAATAACCTCATCCTTGTTAGCATCATGGAGCCACCACACCAGCCCTGGTACCTGCTTCAGGACCTTTCGCTATATGAGAAAAATGTTATACCGACTCCGTTAATTTTCTGTTGCACACAGCCAAACATCCCTGATGCGCCCCTTCAGCACCCCTATGAAGATAATGACGCTCAGAGAAGTGAAGGGGTTTGCCCAGAACTACAGAGTGAGTCAGCGGCAAAGCAGGACACAACTCAGCCTCTTGGTTTGCAAGGAAGCACTCTTTCTACTACACCATCCTTAAAACACGCAGGCACCAGGCCAGGTCCTCTGGAGCAGGCACTCCCTAAGAAGTCACACCCAAAACAAACTGATTCACCATGATTCATTCATCCCAGTGTTTGTTTCAAGTTTTTGAAATGGAGAAAAGAAGTGGCAGGCAATTAAAAGCATTGTAGAAAACCAAAGCAGGACCGGCCCAGGACCTTTGAGTAAGAACATGTGAGTACAAATGCATATGGCTGCCGGGAAGTCTGCCGTGATGGAAAAAGCAAGTGCTGGACTCCAAGAACATGTGCAGCTGAACAATCAAGGTCTAATAACCCTGCATCCCAGGATTTTCCTGAACAGCCCCCCTTTCAAAGATTCTACGCCAATGGCACATCACATCAAACCTGATTTTTAAAAAATTGTATTCATTTTTGAAAGAGAGAGAGAGAGAGAGAGCACAAGCGGGGAGGGGACAGAGAGAGAGGGAGACACAGACTCCAAAGCAGGCTCCAGTTTCCGAGCTGTCAGCACAGAGCCTGATGTGGGGACTCGAACCCATAAACTGTGAGATCATGACCTGAGCCGAAGTCAGACACTCAACCAAATGAGCCATCCAGGCGCCCTTCAAACCTAATTTTTTATCCGGAAAATAGGGCCACTGTAACTGCCGATGTACCCCCCCCCCCACACCTCCCGTTTGACAAACACTAAAAATCTATTTAACAAAGAACAAAGCCTTTCATCCACAGTTAAGAAGGCTGGGCATAAAACCAATCTTCCTGGTGAGAAAAACCTAGCAACATAACTCCTCACGGAATTATACTGAGCAGCACCCTTCCCAGATTTCACCACTTTGCTGAGCTTGGCCCCAAAGTGGCCAATGCCAGGAGCACTCTGCACTTTCTGCCCTCATCCCCGGGACCAGGCATTGAGACCAAACCTCTACTCTCTTCCACGACAGGCTTCCTTGAGGTCCCTGGGGTTTTGTCAAATACCAGAAGCATTGAATGGACTCTTGGGGAACAGGCTAAAGCCCTGAGGGTCAGAACATATGCCCTTTGACCAGGGCCCAGCCTGGGCCCCCATGTCTGATGCCTAAATCCCTACCAATAATTCCCTACTCTCAGCTCAAACACTGGAAAGGGGTGTCACGACCTCCAAGCCGGACTATCCCATCCTTGTACTTTATACTCAACTGAAAACTGGCTTTCTAGAAGTTCTATCCATTGGCCCTTGTCCTATCCCCAGAGACCAGAGGAAAACATGGCTTGTGCCATCCCCCTTAGATAGGATCCTCTGCCCTTCACCATCTCAGCTTTCCCAGACTAGGTAAGCTCAGTTCCTCATACCGCATGGTTTCTAGGCACCTCACAGTTATCTTTCCAGGAACCAGGATGAGAAATAGGGAAGAGAGTCAGGGTGGGAATGGTCATCCCCACCCTGCAAATATGTCTCTATCCCAAGACCCCAAGCTATCACCAAAAAAAAGTGGAATAAAAAAATGAAGCCCAGGAAATACTCGGACATAGGCTTTACTGCTGCCCCAGCTCCAACCTTCCACTATATCTGAGGGAAGGACTCCAGGTGCTGGTAGAAAAGTAAAACCTCAAAACTTCTTAAGCCAAGACAGGCCCTCAGAGCTATCAAACCTACTTCTCTTGCAAACATGACAGACAGACATCCAGGAAGAGGGGGCAGGACTGGCCTGAGGTCAATGGTGGCAGAATTGGGTCCCAAATTCCCAGCCCTGACACTAGATCCGGTGCCCTTGAAACCACATCATTATGACTCCCTACATTCCACGAGGATTACCCAAAAATGAATCAATAAGAGCTAGGACTTGCTTAGCTCAATTCTGACAAAAGAGAAGACCTAGTGGTAGAAAGTTTTAGGGATTAGGAAAATGTATCAATAAACCAGTGTGTTGGGAGTCTCAAAGACAACTCCTAGGCTGGGTGATTTGCTAGGATTCACAAGACTCAGAGTACAGTTGGACTCATGGCCATGATTTATTACAGCAGAAGGATACAAAGCAAAATCATCTAAGGGAAAAGGTGCATGAGGCAAAGCCCAGAAGAAACCAGGCACCAACAGTGCCTTCTTCCGGTGGAATCACATGACACATGAAAACACATGTGAAGTGTTGTCTCCCAGGAATGCTCACGAGAGACTCAGGGTTTTCACGGGGCGCTCTCTGCCTAGCAGATACGACTCTTACCAGTTACGGTGGTAGGAACACTCTCAAAAATCTAACTTCCCAGAAGCCAGCCAGGGCCAATGTTACAGGCAGGCCTTTCTAAGAACATCAATCTCAGGCCTGCTACATTAACTCTTTTCTCAACAACCAGCAGTGAGGTTTCAGGAAAAGGTCATCCGAGCACACAGGGAGCCCATGCCACCCATCTGTCCAAAGGATATAATACACTGTTGTAATAAGCAAACCAGTGGTCACAGGTGATGGAGAGTGATCACGTTTCATGGTGTGAGAGAGGGGACCATGAGGGATCCAAAGGAGACAACTCTTAGACCATAATCTGAATCTTTGCTCCAATACCTCTTCCTCCCCAAGTGCTCCCATCACTCAACTTATTCAAGCCACACACCTAAGCACTGTTCTTGACACTTCCTCTCCCTCAGCACCCACATCCACTTACTTCTTCACCTGTCAACTCGACCTTGAAAAGTACTCCAAGCCTGCCAGTTTCCCACGTCCACACCGTCACCACCCTGGTCTAAACGGTGCTCACCTCTCCCCCAGGCTGCCACAACGGCCTCTTAACTGGCCTGCCACCTGCTACATTTGCCCCCATCCATCCATTCTTCACACACCAGCAGGGTGGTGATTTTAAAATGAAAACCGGGAACATCTGAGTGGCTCAGCTGGTTGAGCATCCGACTCAATTTTAGCTCAGGTCATGATCCCAGGGTCGTAGGATGGAGTTCCCCATCAGGCTGTGCTCTGAACATGGAACCTGCTTAGGATTCTCTCTCTCTCTCTCTCTCTCTCTCTCTCTCTCTCTCTCTCTCTCTCTCTCCCTCCCCCGCCCCTCCCCTGCCCATATGCATGCTTTGTCTAAAAAATAAAATAATTTTTTTAAATGAAAACTGGACCAGGACTCTCCTTCCACACTTCTGTACTTCCAATGAGCAAATAAGTGAGTGAGCAAACAGGTCAGACTTCAGACAGGTGGAAAGCTGAACAGGGAGGCACTGGCATCACAGTCTGAGCTGTTAAGCATTATTTGGTAGGGTTTTTTTTGTTTTTTTTTTTTCAACGTTTATTTATTTTTGGGACAGAGAGAGACAGAGCATGAACGGGGGAGGGGCAGAGAGAGAGGGAGACACAGAATCGGAAACAGGCTCCAGGCTCTGAGCCATCAGCCCAGAGCCCGACGCGGGGCTCGAACTCACGGACCGCGAGATCGTGACCTGGCTGAAGTCGGACGCTTAACCGACTGTGCCACCCAGGCGCCCCTATTTGGTAGGTTTTTGTTCCGGCTTTTTAAATACATTTCTTCCAAACTGTATGATACAGACTGAATGTTCATATTCCCCTAAAATTCGTATCTTGAAATCTAACCCGCAATGTGATGGTTTTAGGAGATGGGGCCTTCGGGAGGTGATGAGGTCAGGAGAGGGGAGCCCCCATGAATGGGATGATGCCCGTATTGCCCTTCCGCCATGTGAGGTCACGGTGAAAACACAGCAGTGTGTGAACCGGGAAGCTGGCCCACACCAGACACTGACTACGCTGGCACCTTAATCTTGGACTTCTCAGCCCCCAGAATCATAAGAAATTAATTGCTGTCATTTATAAGCTACTCAGCCCGTGACACTCTGTTAGCGCAGCCCAAAGGACTAAGACACTACATTGCCACACTTTGAGGTAAACTTCCTCATCTCCACTTTTACAGATGACAGAGGTGAGGTTCAGAGAGATGAAAGGACTTGCCCGAGGCCACACAGCAAGCAGAGAAGCCAAGACTCAGATGCAGGTGCAGACGAGAACTGCCTGAGGGGAGCAGGTCCCAGAGTCTGCCCTGAGCCCTCTGGAGGCTTGACTGTCCCTCCACTGTACCAAACAGACCAGCACTGACGATGGTAAACCTCTGGCAATGTCAGAACTGAGGGAAAGCAGGAACTACCCAGAGCCCAAGACAGACGGCTTCCTGTGACCTTGGGTATAGCAACCAGTCCCATTGGGTGAGTGGGCCAGTGCAGGACTGAAGCTATAGAAAAGTCATGAACTATGGACACAGCAACCAGGACCGCTGCCGGCCAGTCTAGGAACCCCACTCGGCCAGTGCACTCTGGGAGATCTTCAGGGGGATCACTACTGCAGCCTGCCTGGCTCGAAGGGAAGAGGAATCCCCATCAGGGCTGGCCAGGCCCCAGAGCAGCTCACAAAGTGCCTTGCCTGGGTGCCAGCCTCACCCTCGGCCCCCATAATTCAGCCATCAGCTTCACACACTGCGAAGATTGTGCTGGGCCCTACCGGCTGGCAGGGAGTGACCCGCCTAACACAGATTCCCAGGCTCTGTGTCCAGAGCTGGGCCTCAAGAGTCCTGGCAAGGAGTACAACGCTCTATTCTCTTTTATGGGCAGGGCGCCCAAAAGATCTGCCTACGCCAGACACAGCCCCACTGGGTTACAGGGAAGGGGCCCACCGCCTGGGGAGGTTTGGCCAGAAGGAAAGAGACTGTCACACGTTGTGGAGTTTCAGGGTCTCAGAGAGGGAGTGATCAGGGGAGGAGAAAGCAATCCTGATTCGCGACAAAAGGAGTTGGTTAGAAATTGTACTCCTGATGAAGCCCGCCTTAGTAGGCGAGAGGAAGGAAGCTAATGTGTAATGTATTACTAAACACGTTACATACTTTGAATCATTGCAACAACCTCCGAGGCTTATTCTTTCCATTTTATAGAGAAGGGAACTGAGGCTCGGGGAAGCAGAAGACACTTGACCAAGGACACGCTGGCCAGTAACTGGTGAGCCTTCAGGTTTGAACCCGGCTCTCTGACAACCAAAACCTACTCTTTTCTACTGTAATATTCTGCCACATGCACTCAGAGGCGAGAATGGTTCGTTTCTTCAGAAAACATAATGGGAGGAATGATGTAAGACCCCATTTAAGACAACAAAGAAGATAATAAAGTATCTTGGGCATTACCCTATCAAACGGTATTTTAAAACTATAAAATACCCTGAAACACACCAAATACACTTGGACAGTGGGAAGACAAAGATTCAACATAAAAATATCAGCTGTCCCTAAATTAATGTATACATCTAACACCTCTCCAATAAAAATAGCCTCTGTATTGGGGGGGGGGAGTGATAGACAGTATGATAATAAAATATATTTGGAAGCACAAACAAGCAAAATTAACCATAAAAATCTGGAAACAAGAGAGAAATGAGAAGGGGCTAGACACAGGAGACAGACACATCATCAATTCCTAATACCTTTGGCGGAGGCAGAGGGAGGGGGAGGGCCTCTCAGGGAACGAAGGAGGAGGCAAGGAATTGAGCAGAAAGTTCTGTCACTTCCACCTCCTGACCTCCAAATTCTCTCCACTGTGTCACCTTTCCTGCCAACCCCCTGATCTGACTGGACTCCATCCTCAGCAAGAAGCATCCGGTCCCTCCCTGTCTCTACTCCAACCGTACCAGCTTTCTTTCCATTTCTCTAATGTGGCAAAGCTCCTCCTCATCTGGAGACCTTTGCACTTGCTTCTTCCTCTTCCTGGGATGCTCATCACACCCTTCGCCTGGCTAACCTCAACTCCAGGTGAAATGTCACTGCCCCAGACAGGCCTTCCTTGACCACCCAGTCCAAAGCCAGCACCCCCTCTTACTATCTCTCAGCACCCATTAGTTTTCCTCCATATCCTTCTCACAGTTGGAAAGTGTATGTACACCTGCTCATCTGGGAAACCTCTTTCTCCCGCAACAGACCACGAGCTCCAAGAAGGCCGGGATGGGAGCCCCTTTGTTAACCACAATATACCCGGAGCCCATGCTAGATCTAGGAAACAATAAACATTCAACAAATAATTGGTGAAGACATAATGTGTAAACGGAGAATTTGGGGCATGAGAATCCTGCAAACGGTAGGAGAAATCTCTTTCAAACACCTCTCTACCAGAACCAGAATAAAAGAGGGCACATTTCCAGTAGGAGATGGCCATCCTAGGTGCGGACAGAGGGGACATAAGGCCTCAGAAGCAAGTGAGCAGGGAAACGCTTGCTGCCTTGCATAGGTACCGAGATTCTATCTTGCTGTCTCCCTGCAGATTCTCGAGCTAAGAATTAATAGAGAAGACTGCAACTGACAAGGGGAACTGAGAATTCGCCAACAGCTTTCAAACCTGCCTGCCAATAAGGACGCGCCAAGATTTCCATTCCGGCAGCCTCCTCTGCCTGCCTGGACCACATACCACAGATCACCATGGCTGGTAACCCTTCGTCTATCTTTTTTTAGAAAAGTTCTCAGAACATGGCAGGTACTTAATTACTGTTTTTCAAAGTAAAGTAAAACCAGCAATAAGATGGTATGGGCTTACTTGAGAAAGAAACAAGCAGGCCCCCAAAGAGCCCATGGGGCCCGAGGTAGTGCTTCTTACCCAGCTTTGGTTGAGAGACTGGGACCACACAGCTCTTGTTGCAGCCAAACGCGCAGCATTTCTTTCTACCTGGACAAGTCTCATCAGTGACGCACCTTTGGAAACAGGATTGTTTCCGAACAGCCCTGGGACAATCTCCTTTCCTCCCTGTAGCAAAAAAAGGAGACAGCCACACACTCAAAAGAGAGAGAGAGTGGGGCGCCTGGGTGGCGCAGTCGGTTAAGCGTCCGACTTCAGCCAGGTCACGATCTCGCGGTCCGGGAGTTCGAGCCCCGCGTCGGGCTCTGGGCTGATGGCTCAGAGCCTGGAGCCTGTTTCCGATTCTGTGTCTCCCTCTCTCTCTCTGCCCCTCCCCCGTTCATGCTCTGTCTCTCTCTGTCCCAAAAAAATAAATAAAAACGTTAAAAAAAAATTAAAAAAAAAAAAAAAACAGAGAGAGAGAGAGAGAGAGATAATGGTGCCCGGTGGCACCCACGGGTGTAGCAAAAGGGAAAATCAAAGCAAGGAAGCCCTGAGCTTCTTTAGGACTCTCAGCTCTGGTGCTAGAGCAGAGACAGTGAGAACAGCTCACATTTACTATAAGGTTTACTGAGTTTACCTGTGCCAGGAACCTCTCATTTGATCCTCACAACAATTATCCCCATTTTACACATGAGAAAATTGAGGCTTAAAAGCTTAACACTTACAAAGAGCTGTTTAAAGCTTACCTAAGGCAATCACTTCTCGGCCTTTTGGCTAAGATCAAGTGTAAAGCTTACCGGAGGCATGGAAAGCCTGCTTGGCTCGGGGGTCTACTCTTTTGATCACTACCTTTTTTTTTTTTTTTTAATGTTCATTTTATTTTTTAAGAGAGAGAGAGGGAGACAGAATGTGAGCAGGGGAGGTGCAGAGAGAGAGAGGGAGACACGGAATCCGAAGCAGGCTCCAGGCTCCGAGCTGTCAGCACAGAGCCTGACATGGGGCTCGAACCCACGGACCGCGAGATCATGGCCTGAGCCGAAGTCAGACACTCAACCAACTGAGCTACCCAGGTGCCCCTTTTGATCATCTACCTTTAACAGGCTTCCCTGCACAACTTTGCCCTCCAGTCTTCACAGGAACCCCAAGTTCAAATAAAAGACAGAGGGACACCTGGGTGGCTCAGTCAGCTAAGCATCTGACTCTTGATTTTGGCTCAGGTTATGATCTCACAGTTTGTGGGTTCGAGCCCCACGTTGGGCTCTGCACTGACCGCACAGAGCCTGCTTAGGATTCTCTCTCTCTGCCCTTCCCGCACTCATTCTCTCTCTCTCTCTCTCTCTCAATAAATAAATAAACATTAAAATAATAACAATAGGGGTGCCTGGGTGGTTCAGTTAAGTGCCTGACTTTGGCTCAGGGCACAATCTCACGGTTCGTGGGTTCAAACCCCATATTGGGCTCTGTGCTGACAGCTCAGAGTCTGGAGCCTGCTTCAGTTTCTGTGTCTCTCTCTCTGCCCCTCCCCTGCCTATGCTCTGCGTCTCTCTTTCTCAAAAATAAATAAACATTAAAAAAGTAAAAATAAATAAATAAAATAACAATAAAAGACAGAGATCATCTGTTATGTGTTCTTTCCTGATAAAAGACAAAGAACTGGGAGCTGAGTGATTAGAGACCCCAAAAGGGGGAGGAGGGTCTGCAAGCAAGCTAGATCTCAAGAACCAATCCAGGGGCACCTGAGTGGCTCAGTTGGCTGAGCGTCTGACTTTCGCTCAGGTCATGATCTCGCAGTTCGTGGGTTCAAGCCCCATATCTGGCTCTGCTCTGCCTGCTTCAGAGTGTCTCCCTCTCTCTTTGCCCCTCCCCAGCTTGCACACACGTATGCTCTCTCTCTCAAAAATAAACATTAAAGTTCTGACTCATTTGGAGAACTGGATGCTTGAGTCCGAGAAGGGGCCAACAGGAGGGCCTTTAAATTTGCTTCTGCTTCTCAATGGTTGTCTTTTTACTTTTCTAGCATGATTATTCTAGAAGCCTACTTGGGGCAGTGCCCTTTCACAGATCAGTGTCTAATCTGGTGACTGAAAGGCTGAAGTTGGGAACTTAGCCTCTTGGAGAAGTGCTGTTGAGACTTCTGGGTCGCCTAGATAGTGGCTCCTGCCACTTGAATCTTTGGGCTGCAATGAGGCGTGAAGAGCCATGTCCTTTCTCCCTGGTTCCTATGGATTTTGCTAACGAGAGGATGTGTCTTATTTGGTGTTGAGCAAATCCTAGGAACTTCATCTAGCTGTCCTGCATTAACCTGTGAGCAGCTTTGAACTTGAGAAAAAAAAACTGCATAGAAATTTTGAGATATTTAAATATCATTCAGACCACTTTGCTTCATTGTAATCAAATACTTGGTCTTGTCAAAAGGATTCTAATAAAATGCTTTAGAGCAAAAAAAAAAATAAATAAAATAAAATAAACATTAAAAAAAAGAGAGAGAGAGAGAGCAATCTAGGAGGTAGGAAGCTCTCCAGGTCTTTCTAGCCCAGAGGCAAGGTCTGGGTTTTTGCCCGTCCAGCCAACATACCCTTCGGAATGCCTCCTCGGCAGACCCGACCACAGCCGTTGCTGCAGCACTTCTGCCCAGCCGGACATGATTCGTCCCCCCAGCACAGCTCTTTGCACAGGTTCTTATTAGGAGGGCATTCTCCTTCTTTCACTGCAAAAGATAGCACGCGAGATTGGGGTAACTGGCTGGGCCTCAAGAAACAGGGAATGAAAGCCAAGTGCACTTCAAGGATTTTTCAGGCTCTGCAAACATTCCTATCCAATATCTCTGCAACCACTTTCTCCTCCCCCCACACAACCAGTGACATGCACCCACCACAACTAAACAACCAGCCACTTTGTGGATAAAGAGAGGGAAAGGTTGGGGTGATCTTGTTCCCATTTAAGGAGCCCTAGGGAAAACCTAGAACCTCTAGTAAGCCAGACTGGAAGTCCTACCTCCAAGCCAGGAAGACCTACCCCGGCTGTCCTGAGAATCTACACATCCAGTCCTGTCCTACAGGGATCACCATTTCCACAAATAAGGACTCTCACTTCAGAAAGAGGCAGGGGATAATTTCTCCTTAGTCACTTTCTATTACTGTCAGCCAAGGAATCCAAGTAATAGCTCACCATGCTCTCCAGAAGCCACCCAGGATATCAGGGACCCAAGAGCAAGAAATGCCTTCAGGAGGAAAAGGCAGCTCAACATGACGATGGTGCTGAGAAGTGAGATGAGCACTTAGTCCAGGCCGGCGGTATACACCTTGCCCAGAGCATCAACCAAAGGAAGGGCAGGACTAGGAGACTGGCCCAAACCCAGCCCCAAAGTCTCCCCTTATGCAATATCCCCCAGGATGTCTTCTCCTGACAAAAAGAAAAGTGACTGGTCGCTGGTGTGTGGGAAAATTCCTGGCACTCCCAAAAGGCCCATGTGATGATGGTGATCAGACTCTGTAATGCAACACACACAACATCCCTGGACAATGATGAGGAACCTGTTCAGTAGCTGGGGAAATGTAGGGAGGGCCACTAGATAAAGGAGCCTCTGGAAGGACCCAGCCGCAGCCAAAGTGACAGAGGGAAGGACCAGAGACACGACTTAATAATAACCAAAGCTAATAAAATGTACTGTGGCTCCTGTTCATCCTAGCAACCCAGAAAACAGAGAATGGAACAGACTACTTAGAAACCAGCAAACACACACACACACACACACACACACACACACACACACACACAAAACAAAAAACCAAAAACCTACAGTAAAGCCATGTTTGAGTTTGTTCACAACTAATACAAATGCACCAAAAACCTACATCTTGGTCCCTCTAGCCATACAGGCCATTTTTGGATTGTGTGAAAGCAAGCTGACAGAATCCAAAAGAAGTTGCTATGACTCAAGTAGTCTAGACAATATATACCCTCCTTTCTTTATCTCCTCTTCCTCTGCTTGTTTTTACTTTATCTGTCTGTACTATTTGCGACTTTAGGCAGGCATGATATTTAATGGTATCCACTGACGCTGCTTAGCCCAGTAAGGTTAAAGGGCAGAGGAAGTTCAAGGCCCAAAGTAAAAATCTCCTTAATAGAGCCAGAGTTTGGTGCCATATAGTTGCCTCATCGTTTTAAGGCTGATGTGGGAGCACGGAGATAATTAACATTTGTTGATGACCTAACATCTGCTTTATTTGTATTATTTATTTTAATCCTCACAATAATCTTGCAGAGGTAAGAAAGGTGATTCAGAGGGGTTGAGAAAGAATGCCCAAGGTCATTAAGCTAGTAAGTAGTGGCTACCAGAATTTACTAATAGTAACAATAGATGACATTGCCTGAGGGTTTACTTGCGACACAGTTCTAAGTGCTCTACATGAATTAACTGCATGTAGTTAATCCTCACTGCAATCTTATAGGTTAGGTACTATTATCCCCACTCTACAGATGGAAAAACTGAGGCACAGAAAGAACCGTGGGTCAGTTAGTAGTAGACCAAAGGTAGGCAGCCCAATTGCATAGTCAATGTTGTTAATCACCATATCATATGGAATTGGAACTCAGATCTTTGTACATGTAAAACTCGTGCACTTTCTACTCCCCCATATTGTGACCTGGTAAAAGGAACTTTCTCTACCACCCATAAATCGATCCAGTTCTCTTCACGGACCTCTTACCTCTAAGCCAGAGCTAAGAGGAGCTCCATAGCTGTTAACCCCTTGCATCCCCTGCCCATCCCAGAATCACCCCTCTGGGGATAGAAGCCCAGCTCCCTGGGGCTTGGGGAGTCCACGGCCCAAGACTCAACCTTCATTATGATGCCTTCAGATGCTAGAGGCAGCCCCTGGCGTCTAGGCCTGGAGGGCCCCGGTGGGTAAGCGTTTGGGACGGCATGGGCCAGACCCCCTCTTGTTGGGTTATCGGGTCCTCGTAGTAGGCCCACTCCCTCCATTCCGTAGGGGATGAGTACGAGGCATATTAAATTCTACGGCTTTCAAAGACTGGACTGTAGGCGCCGCTGTGCTCCCCTCCGCTCCCCAACCCCAGCCCAGGGAGCCTGCTGCCCTCCTCCTGCCCCACACTTCTCCACCGGCCTTGACCCAACGGGGAGCGTTCCGGGACCAAACACCCACAGCCTACACGGGAGGCGCGGCCCCGCCCCGGACGCAGCCCCGCGCACTCAGCGCCTGTAGGCGTCTCAGACCCTGGCGAGACGCAGCCGTTTGGTTCCCATGGAAACGCCGCAGCTCCCCGCGGCGCGCTTCCGGGCCGGCGAACGGCGCGCTGCAATGACGTCACGAGGCCACTTTCCGGCCGGTGGTAGAGTCGGTCTGAAGTTGTGGGGGCCGGGGGAGCCATGGGGGCCACTGGCGACGCCGAGCAGCCGCGGGGACCCAGCGGGGCAGAGCGGGGCGGCCCCGACCTGGGCGACGCGGGCGCAGCGGGGCAGCTGGTTCTCACGGTGAGGGCGCCCCCGGGGAGGCCGGGGCTGGGCCTGGGCTCGGGCCGGCTGGGCCTCGGGCTCCCTGGACCCTGGCCCGCGGGTGAGAGAACGCGGCGGCTGGTGCTGCTGCCCAGGGAGTTGGCGTTTTCGCAGTCCAACGACCTGGATTCAAATTCTGATGCCGCCTTTCTAGCTAGGTGACGTGAGCAAGTCCTGCCAACCCCTGAGCTCCAGTTTCCTCTTCTGTAAAATGGAGATGATTAGTGCCTGCCTTATAAAGTTGTGGGGATGGGGTGTAAGTACGAGGAAAGCGCCCAGCACACCACCTGCCCCAGAGTAGCCAGCCCCTCGGTAAACAACTTACCTTCCAACTGCCGTTCCAGAAAAGGTGGGGTTGGGACCTTTCGAGGCAGGAAACTTTTCTTCAGTTCCTCCTCCCGGGCAGGGCCTTTCAACCGCTGCCCTCCCGCCAACCCCGTCCCAGAGAAGCGGGGATGTTTACGTTTAAGTTCATCTCCACCCTCCACCCCAGTGTCATGGACCTCAGTGACAACCGTTCCCTTGGTCCCCACAGAACCCTTGGAACATAATGATAAAACACCGGCAGGTGCAGCGAAGGGGCCGCCGCTCACAGATGACGACAAGGTAAGGCTGGTCTTGCGTATTTACCTCCCGGGCATTGGCTTGGATGGCACCTTTGGGGTCCCCACTGCACCGAGCTGAGAAGAGACAATGAGCCATTGGAAAGAGCACTGGACTAAGAAAGAGGAGACTAAGATTCTGTAACTCTGTGTGACCTTGGTTGAATCATTGTCTCCTCTGAACTGATGTACCAAATGAGGGGTAGTCATGGATTCAACCGTGCCTAAGATCCCTAACATTCACTGGCTCTGTGGTTGAGGGCTATAAGGAGATCCAGAGGGACGCCTGGGTGGCCCAGTCGGTTAAGCGTCCAACTTCGGCTCAGGTCATGATCTCATAGTTCATGGGTTCCAGCCCCTCATTGGGCTCTGTGCTGACAGCTCGGAGCGTAGAGCTTGCTTTGGATTCTGTGCCTCTCTCTCTGCCTGTCCCCTACTCTCTCTCTCTCTCTCAAAAATAAATAAACATAAAAAAAAAATAAATATACTGCTAAAAAGAAAGAATAGCTTGGAGGTTCAGAAAAAAGTGGGGCTAGTAGTATTTATCTCCGTGAAGGGAGAGAGTACAAGATAGGCCTATAGGATGTGGATTATATTTCTTGACTTGGGTAGTGATTAAATGGATGTTCACTAAAACTATTTGTTAAAGCATATAGATTTTGTATTTCATAAAACACTTTAAGAATAATGCTCATTTCGGGGCGCCTGGGTGGCTCAGTAGGTTAAGCGTCTGACTTGGACTCAGGTCATGATCTTGCGGTCTGTGAGTTCGAGCCCTGCGTCAGGCTCTGTGCTGACAGCTCAGAGCCTGGAGCCTGCTTCGGATTCTGTGTCTCCCTCTCTCTCTGCCCCTCCCCTGCTCGTGCTCTGTCTCTCTCTGTCAAAAATAAATAAAACATTTTAAAAAAAGAAGAAGAATGCTCATCTCATGGGCAAAAGACATGAATGTCTTCTCCAAAGAAGACATCCAGATGGCCAATCGACACATGAAAAAATGCGCCACATCACTCATCGTCAGGGAAATACAAATCAAAACCACAATGAGATACCACCTCACACTTGTCAGAATGGCTAACATTAACAACTCAGACAACAACAGATGTTGGCGAGGATGTGGAGAAAGAGGATCTCTTTTGCACTACTGGTGGGAATGCAAACTGGTGCAGCCACTCTGGAAAACAGTATGGAGCTTCCTCAAAAAATTAAAAATAGAACTACCCCATGACCCAGCAATTGCACTACTAGGCATTTATCCAAGGGATACAGGTGTGCTGTTTTGAAGGGGCACATGCACCCCAATGTTTATAGCAGCACTATCAACAATAGCCAAAGTATGGAAAGAGCTCAGATATCCATCGATGGATAAATGGATAAAGAAGATGCGGTATATATATATATGCATACACATACACACAGACACAATGGAGTATTACTCAGCAGTAAAAAAGAATGAAATCTTTTGCAACTACGTGGATGGAACTAGAGGGTATTATGCTAAGTGAAATTAGTCAGAGAAAGACAAATATCATATGAGGAATTTAAGATACAAAACAGATGAAAGTAAGGGAAGGGAAGCAAAAATAATATAAAAACAGGAAGGGGGACAAAACATAAGATTCTTAAATATAGAGAGCAAACGGGGTTGCTGGAGGGGTTGTGAGAAGGGGGATGGGCTAAATGGGTAAGGGGCATTAAGGAACCTACTCCTGAAATCATTGTTGCACTATATGCTAACTAACTTGGGTGTAAATTAAAAAAATACTTTTTTTAGAAAAGTAATGCTCATTTCACAGGTTATTATGAAAATGGAATAAAGCCATACATCTGTGTAGTGCATACTACATCTGGGCACATAGCTTGTTTTCAGTAGAAGCTATCTATTCTCATTAAAGGAGTTTGTGTCAGGGGCGCCTGGGTGGCTCAGTTGATTGAGCGTTCGACTTCAGCTCAGGTCGTGATCTCATGGTCTGTGGGTTTGAGCCCCGCGTCAGGCTCTGTGCTGACAGCTCAGAGCCTGGAGCCTGTTTCGGATTCTGTGTCTCCCTCTCTCTGTGCCCCTCCCCTGTTCATGCTCTGTCTCTGTCTCAAGAATAAATAAACATAGGGGCACCTGGGTGGCTCAGTCGGTTGAGTGTCCAACTTCAGCTCAGGTCATGATCTCATGGTTCGTGGGTTCGAGCCCCGCGTCAGGCTCTGCACTGACAGCTCAGAGCCTGGAGCCTGCTTCTGATTCTGTGTCTCCCTCTCTCTCTGCCCCTCCCTCACTCATGCTCTGTCTCAGAAATAAATAAACATTTAAAAAACATTTTTTTAATAAATAAATAAAGGAGTTTGTGTCAATAATTGGCTGGGCAGACCAGGAAAGATATGTTTGGGACATGATCCCTAACTATGTCTCCCTCCTGAATGCAGTTTCACAGATCCTGCTATCTCCATGGACCTCCTCCGAGCTGTTCTCCAGCCTAGCATCAATGAGGAGATCCAGACTGTCTTCAACAAGTACATGAAGGTGAGAGGGACACAGCAGTAAAAAATTAAGAAGGACAAAGATTCACGGACAGGTCTTTCCTACATCACAATCCCTCTGGCTCTCTCTAGTGCACAGATGTGTAAAGGTTTCCTATTCTGAATCCCTGAGAACTTTTCTCCCCTCTTTGGGGGGTAATTTGAATACCTCTTTGTCAAGTCATTATGAGCATAAAATGATTTAAGTGTAATGTGCTCAGCACTGTGCTTCGAACAAGTGTTTTTATTTGTTTAGTAGTATCACCATTATTATTATTTTAAATTCCTTTTGGGGCACCTGGGTGGTTCATTTGGTTAAGCATGCAACTCTTGGTTTTGGCTTAGGTCATGATCTCATGGTTCATGAGTTCAAGCCTCACGTCAGGCTCCGCACTGATGGTGCAGAGCCTGCTTGGGATTCTCTTGTCTCCCTGTTTCTCTGCTCCCCCCCCCCATCTCTAAATTAATTAAAATTTTAAAAATTCCTTTTTAGACCTATAAATAAACGTCTACATGACTCTACCTGATTGTCCCGTAGATATTTCAAACTCAGCATATTCAGAACTGAACTGTTTTTCTTCCTAAACCTTTTCCTCTTCTTGTATTTGTTTAATCATTCAAGAAGTATTTACTGAGAACCCACCATAATAGCAGGCACTGAATGTTCAAGGCACTGAGGATGTAGCAGTGACCAAAATGACAGTGTTCTTGTTCTCTTTAAACTGATATGTACTGCACTAGGAACACCAGAGAGAAGGGGGAGAGTGACCAGTGGGGAGCAGTTCTAGTTCATAGAGTGTATCTAGGAAAGCCACACGTGAGCAGAGACTTGAATAAAGTGAGGAAAATACAAGCTATGTGGACACATCAGGGAAAAGCAGTCCAGGTAGAGGGAACAAGGGCAAAATCCCTGAGGCACGAGTGTGCTTGGCACATTCAAAGCAACAAAGTCAGGGCCCCTGGCTGGCTCAGAAGAGAAGGCTGGCTGGCAACTCTTGATCTCGGGGTCATGAGTT